ACTGTGCCGCCGCCGGACCCGCCGCGGCCGGGGGGAGCCAGGCGTGTCCCGCCCGGCGCCCGCCGCCTGGCCGGGAAACCTCTCCGGAGGAGGGAGAAAAGCCGGGAGGAAACAAGCTCCTCTTCGGCCGAAACAGCCAGAAAGCGGCCGCCCCTCCGCCGTCGGCCAGGGGGCTGCGGCCGAGAAGAGGAAAAGCTTCTTCGGGACGACCTGTCACCTGCGGTTTTTCAGCGAGGCGCCCCAAGTCAGCCCTAGCCCCGTGTTCCTGATGGCGGGAAAATGATTCCCGCGTCAGCTTCCTCCTAGGAAGCGGCACGGGGAGCACCCGTACAAACGCCAGACCGAGCGAGCCAAGCACAAAGTCAGAAATTCTTCGCTGTGTGCAATAAAGTTGGTCGCATTAATATGTTGAATAAATGTCGTGGAATGTTCTTTGCGGTATGACTTCTCCTTAGCGATGGATATGCCTGTGACAGTTACTTTAAGAATTAGTAATCGGGCAGTAGATTAAAGATTCCAAGCGATTAAAAGCTTTGCTGTTTGGTTTTTTTTCTTTCTTTCTTAAAAAAGTATATTTTAGGATTCTCTTGAAGTGAAGCTCAGTAAATGCTGCAAAGCAGAAGAGTTTGCCACTCCAACTTATTTGCAAATAAAGGTCCCGATTACTAACACTTACGGTACCGAAGGAGAAATTTGATAATTACCCATCACACACACGAAACCCCAAACTGTCAGATTAGTAGCATGCCAGCATGTTTGCAGTCGCTAGCATCCCTCCCGTGTGCACATTTACTAAACGCAGCTTGCTAGTAGAGCTCGCTATACGATAAACCGTCCAGGTTTGAAATTAATAGATACTTATAGTGCGTCTCAAAAAGCAGCTGAACATCCACTCTTCACAACATATTGGAGCACTACACGGAATATAAAAACGAAGCTAAGAATTGGCATATGAGATTTACCGTTCCTATCTGCTACTTGATTTCTGGAGGGAACGTGAAAAAGACCTGACAGATACGTTTAGCGATTGATTCTCCCTTCATAAGGTACACACACAAAAAGCAAGGCAGAGACAATGGCGAAATGCATTAAACCTCAAAATCGATTAGAGCCCGTCAGAAGATCTTTTAAAACAATACAAATCGTGGACTTTTGCGTAATATTTTATTCCAAAGGACACTAAATTTCCCGTGAATCTGCTGCCTTGTTCACTGCCCGGTTCACGAGAGAAAAAAACACCCAACAACTTCTCGCTTGCAGTTACAGACAACTATCAGGAGGAAAGGACAGCGTGATGTGACGCCAAGTGCGAGTTAATGAATTTACGCCTCTGCTGCTGCAAGAGCGAGCCCGGTCTGTAGCTCCCTAGTTGATGGATGCCCATTAATACACCTGCATTCACGTCTCGGCCGTGGGGAGGCACGCGGGGATTCAGTGCGGAGCGGCACAGTTTTGCCAAGTCCTTTCGAAACGTCAATACCCTTCAAGTTACACCCAAAGGAGAACGATTTCTCTTGATTTCCGAGCGTACGGATGACCGGGGCGGTTTTTCTGCCAGTAACCTTCTACCTTTCTATATGTGCCCGCGTGTGCGTGCGTGCGTGCGTGTGTGTGTGTGTGTCTGTGTGTCTGTGTATACATATCTATCTCCTAGAGAGGGATTAATTAGCCGGGTTTGAGCTGAAAGAGGCTGCAGTGACGAGCCCAGTGGCGATTGGCCGCCCGCCTGCCTGGCC